AAAATGATTTTTTTATTTTATTTAGGCTCTATTCTTTGTGTGGAGCACCATCAATTCTTACTGCACTACTTTTATTACAATTACAGATAAGTTTTAGTTTTGGAGAGAAAAACGTTTTTTTATATAGATGTACATACTTAACTAGTATATTGTTCATCTTGTCTTTTTTGCAATTTTTCGAAAACTGAAAAACGAATTGAAAAATCAATTAAATGATAAAAAAGGAATAGAAAAGCTCTTTATATCTCTTTTGGAGAATATGGAATTCGTCAAGAAATGAAAAACCTATGTGGCTTTACATAAAATTTGGTTCACTTTCACATGTTAAAGAGAGAGAGAGAGAGAGAGACAGATTATATACAATATACATCAAAAGAGAAATAAATAGAGAAAGGGTAGAATGGTATGGGGTACTGAGAAATAAAGAGTGAGGGAAAGAAAATGGGAGAAATAAAGATAGCGAGAGAGAAGAGAGAGAGAGAGAGAAAGGAGAGAAGGGATAGAGAGGGATACAAAAGAGAGGGGGGAGATGAGAGGGATATAGAAGCGACAGAGAGAGAGAGAGAGAGAGAGGGTGAGAGAGAATATCAAGTGAGAGTGTTATAACACGGACCTGGTCAATGCAGTTGGTGCATGGTTATGAGACGGAGGCGAAGAATATAATTCAATTATACGGAAAGAGAGAGGTTAGCCCAAACACGTGTAGCAATTACTGACCTCTACCAGAGGTCATTAGGCTAAATAAACAAGCGTACCGTACCCGTAAACTCACAAAGGGATGATCTCAAAATAAGAATGTGCAGTATACACATAATCGACTGTTCGGGAAAACGTCGTCAACCTTATTATTGATTTATCTTCGTTTGTAAGATTAAACGTATCTTCTTTATTTTTAATAAAGAAATGCAAAATAAATAATGTTACGTTCTGTATATAAATGATTACCCAAACTGTCCCCGTACAACGACTTTGGGGAGTACCTTGAGATTATCCCTAAAAAAAATGTGCTCGGAAATTCTTCTGGCCAATCCGGCCCTACACACATAGACTAATACACGTACACACGTAACATGTACTATACGTAGGCCTAATACACATGCACAGGGCCAGGGATCAATGCCAGATCTTTGCAGTTCTTCACGGCCAATTGACTTGACCAAAATACAGGCAATATGTGCGTTCGTTCACAGAGCTGGCGAACAACAATATTATCAAAGTCGAGCAATAACAAATGCATTTCAAAGTTGAAAACACAGAAACGATTAAGAGAGGGAAATGGAAAAATGAGTTGAAGAGAACAGGATATTCCGGTCCGCGCAGGAAATTCATAGATTAACGTACGTAAGTACAGTAAAGATGGTGACGGTCCGATCGATTATAAAATTATAATATATTGCGATTACAGTGTACAGACAAGTATATTTTTCTTCAAATTTAGGAGACAGTATAAAAATCTTACACTAAGGCAACTCGACTTTAAAAGAATTATCTTCATGATTATATATATTGTTTAAGTCTGGTAACCCTGATAGCAGAGACTGGTAAATATCACGTCATATTTACGTCTTGTACTACGTCTTTAAGACGACGTAACACGACGTCAAAAAGACATGATTTTGCACCCGCGCACGTCGTCACGAGGACGTCATATTATGACGTGATTTTTACGTCTTATTAGTCAAAGAAAGACGTCTTTAAGACGTCAACTTGTACTATAGGAAGACGTCATATGGACGTCATATTTACGTCTTTTAGTTAAAGAAAGACGTCTTTAAGACGACATAACACGACGTCAAAAAGACATGATTTTGCACCCGCGCACGTCGTCACGAGGACGTCATATTATGACGTGATTTTTACGTCTTATTAGTCAAAGAAAGACGTCTTTAAGACGTCAACTTGTACTATAGGAAGACGTCATATGGACGTCATATTTACGTCTTTTAGTTAAAGAAAAACGTCTTTAAGACGACATAACACGACGTCAAAAAGACTTGATTTTGCACCCGCGCACGTCGTCACGAGGACGTCATATTTTGACGTGATTTTTACGTCTTATTAGTTAAAGAAAGACGTCTTTAAGACGTCAACTTGTGCCATAGAAAGACGTTGTATGGACGTCATATTTACGTCTTTTAGTCAAAGAAAGACGTCTGTAAGACGTCAACTTGTACCATAGGAAGACGTCGTACGGACGTCATATTTTGTCGTGATTTTAACGTCTTATTATTCAAAGAAAGACGTCTTTAAGACGTCAACTTGTACCATATAAAGACGTTGCATGGACGTCATATTTTCTTTTTAGGTCTTATTGGTTAAATAAAGACGTCTTTAAGACGTCAACTTTCACCCAAGAAAGACCTGTATACGTTGTATGGACATCAAATTTTGACGTGATATTTACACCTTACTGGTCATTTCGATGTACCTTTTATCCTTACATGATCTTTACGTCTTTGTTGTCCTCTAAATAACATCTATAAGACCACCTGATCAAGGAAGAAAGTGTAAAAGTCACTTCATGTACACATTCTGAACAATCACACAGTAAAATCAAAGCAACAAATATTGCATCACATACATGCCAAACAGAAAGTAATTTTCATATTTTTAATGTACACGTATATGGTATGAAAATGGATAACAAAAATATAAAATACGTATTTCTATACCTTCTTATTCTATCTAACTTTGTTTTCCATTGGTACAAAATCTTTTCATCACTATCCTGACACTTCTTCCAAAACATGCTGTATAAATACCTAGTGTATTTCTGTCAGTCTCATAATTTATTTTAAGAAAGTTAACAGGCCATCACAAAGATATCTGTTTCGTTATAAATTGTGCTACAAGAAACTATGACATATTCGCTAAACTTATAAGTCTTACGGTTGTGGGAAGCAGGTTAGCAGCATAGAGACTAGGTAAAGCTATACTGATACCCGCAGTATTTTAGTAGACAAGCAAACAGCACACTGGGGAAGTTCCTCATACTCAGCAAAACAGCATAGTGGAAAGCTAGGCATTCATCAGTGCAGCTCTACCTCGTCTCCATGCTGCAAAACCGCTCCTGACAACCCCAAGACTTTAATGCAGATAAAGACTATCACATAAAACAAAAGGTTGTTGGAAAGAATTTCTGAGCATGAAAGATCAATTCTTGTTACATACAAGGGGAATATCTAAGTTCATGGCAAGAATTCAGTATAAAGTATAAAACTATACAATCTAAATCACACACAGGAGAAAAATGGCACAAATGATAAACACATGGCTTAGCTAAGTTATTTCTTACACTCAAAAGGAACAAGTTGGCAGCAAGGGGAACAGGGAGAGCTTCACTGATACCTGCAGAGTTTTCTGATGATGGTTGCTTGCCCGTCAAAACCATGATGTTCACATTTGGCGATACAGCATATTAGAAAACTGTGCAGAAATCAGCTCAACTGTTACTATTCTCTGTGCTAGAAACCTGCTTCTTACGGGCACATGACTTAAATATAAGAAAAGGCATTAGTGGCAATATTCATATTTATAAATATCAAAAAATTAGTTTTGTTGCAAATACAGAAGCTGAAGTTCAAGTATAAAAATACAATTTATATCAGATAACATTCCCGCCAGTACGATTGGCTCAGTTGGGCAATTCCAAGGTGACTGTGGAATAATTATTCAGAAGATATTTCCCAGTTTAAGATAAAATAGCAAACATGCTGAAAAAGTTTAGCACAAAGAGATATATTCCATTGCTAATGTCACAACATTCATTTGGCAAGTCCCAGGAGTTTCACAAAAGAATTAAAATTTAACTTAAATTTTAACAGCAAATTCAATATACATGTAGGTAAGCCATATTGTGCTTTCAAAATCACAGATACAATCCAAGAATTTTATACTTTTAACTACCAATTTTTTTTCAAACCACAAGGTATTTATGGTTTTCATTGAAGGCGCTACTGTGTGTCACTCTTTAACAGTTAATTCTCCCAACAAAATTTTGAATTTTCCCCAACCGTTTTTCCATGAAAATAAGATATAAAAAACGGCCTTTAAAAATCTTTCAATGCCTAAATTTGGAAAAGGTATTGGAGCTAATTCTTTGCTTTGTGATGATTTACACTCACTTCAATTTAATCAAATTATAAAAATATAGTTGGGAGAATTAAGGAATGGATCAGATCAGTTTTCCCAATTTTTATCATCAATAGTGGTCTATTTTTAACTCAAATGTTCAGATTATCTTTAAGTGTACATACAGTATAGCATTGAAGTCAATACCTTAGCATCATTTTCTCTCATATGAACAATGTTACCAAGTCCCTTTAAGGCTCGTTCAGATATGATGCTGCAAAACAAAATCTCAGAGTTTTTTTAATGTTGACATAGAGTTCAATATGCTTTACATTTCTGTATATTATTTTTAAAAAAGAGCTCACTGAATATGCGCAGTCCAAAACATACAAAGACTTGTTGCCATTCGCTTTACACATAAAACCAAACTGCATCATTTACGAAAATTGTTGGCGGTTCACGTTCCGTATCGGTGACACGACATTTGCTCCTGCGACAATTGCTCCGGGCTTTATTTCGTCTAAGATGTAGGGTTAGGGTTAGGGTTTCAATAGGGTTTTATGTTAGGTTTAGGGTTAGGTTTAGGGTAGGGTATAGTGTTGAATCCAGGGTTGAAGTTAGCCATTCGATTAGTGTATGGAATTTACAGCGGAGCAATTGTCGCCGGAGCAAATGTCATGGAATCTCCGTATCTGAACAAGTCTTAGTTGCTTAATAATGGAATCGATTTGTATTGTATTTAACTCACTCAATTTTTCTCTATTACCAACTTATATATAATTTGCAACAGGTTTTAAGAACTGATAAGAAGCGGATGGGGGGTGGGGGTGAGCATGAGACTGAGCATATCAAGTCTACTACATTTAAGCATTATGAAACAGGTCAACTTCATAAATAGTAATTACAAATATATGCAAAATACTGGAATCTTTTACTCAAACTGTTATTATGTCAGTTCGTACACCCTGTAATTCATTAAAATTGTAAGTGACATGAATGGGAATTTCAGTTCCACAGCTTAGCCATTCAGGTTTGTGGCTACACCCTACCTCTCCCCCTCCCCCAATCTCTCTCTATAAATTATAATGAAGTGAAAAAAAAACCTTTTTTCTAGCAGTTTAACTATCGGGTGAGTGTAGATCTACATGTAATTTTGGAAATATTCCTCTTCAGCTTGGACTCATGGGTTAGCTTTTGGGTGGAATCTCTGGCATTATGCACTGCTTTCAGATCCAGGGAACATAGACGCAAGGAATTCTAGTGCATGAATAAAGCAAAAAGAAAGGGATACAATTTAAGACAAACTTTTATATATTTTAAAACTGGAACATAAACAATGAATTAAATAATGAATTATGTCAGAAAAGTAATGCTTGGTAAGATTTATCAGAAATAATTTCTTATTGCTCACAAACATAAAGTCAACACACCTTTGGATTTTAAACATTTGTGGGCAATGCAAAACGTGATTCAGGATTTCGTTTGGTAAATTATCAATACAATTGTAGTTTGCTGATGAGGGCCATGACTCACCAATCGGATTAGTGGAGCCATCGATTTGGAAATATTCCTCTTCAGCTTGGACTCATGGGTTAGCTTTTGGGTGGAATCTCTGGCATTATGCTTTGTTTTCAGATCCAGGGAACATAGACGCAAGGAATTCTAGTGCATGAATAAAGCAAAAAGAAAGGAATACAATTTAAGACAAACTTTTATATATTTTAAAACTGGAACGTAAACAATGAATTAAATAATGAATTATGTCAGAAAAGTACTGCTTGGTAAGATTTATCAGAAATAATTTTTCATTGCTCACAAACATAAAGTCAACACACCTTTGGATTTTAAACATTTGTGGGCAATGCAAAACGTGATTCAGGATTTTGTTTGGTAAATTATCAATACAATTGTAGTTTCAGGGATGCCAGTTAGAATTGATCAGAGGGCCTGAAAAATCACCTAGAATGTGCTAGCTTGTACACAAAAAACCTAAACTATGGTATGAAAATAACTCGCCAGGGCCTGAATTCAGGCTATTGCCTGAAAACTGGCATTCCTGTAGTTTGCTGATGAGGGTAGAATGAAAGCTCCTTGACCTATGCTGAAGGGTAAAAAAACACTGTTTGAACTCACATAATATTGTCGGTTATTGCAACATACCTGCAGGTTTTAGTGATCTAAAATTAATTGAATTATAAATATATTTGAAACTCATGACAAATAACTGAAATAAGCCTTTCAAATGAAATGAACCATTATGTAGTGTCTAATTGGTCAGTGTCTCAGTGATCATGCACAATATGACAAATAAATGTACAGAAATAATACAAGTACATGTACACATTTACCGATAATGGCTTCAAGTTCAACTGTTTCAAGAGGCTGCTGATCCTTAGGGAAGTAGGGAACATCCACAAGGTTGAGAGAAAGTAGCATTTTCTGCATGGTTTCACATCAATATACTGAGGTCACAGTGTGCTTTGAATCCACTTCTTTGACGAAAGATGTTAAAAAAGGATGCCTACAAATAAATGAGAAAATGAATAAAGTTAAAACAAAACGAATGGTTGATAATGTATGCATGTGCAACACATATACTACAAACTTCTTTGAACAGCCTGTGGGGAAAGAATTTTGTTTACCATTTACAGGTCTAACCGATTATTTTCAGATAAAGATTTCTGTATACGCGGTAGCCTATAAGATAAATTTGCTGTCTAAAGACTATAAAAACGACTTGTTTAAGGTTACATGTTTGTGACACAAGTCACTGCTTTATTCCTCTACGTATCGACACGTAATGCTCAATTTCCAGACATCTGGGCCCGGGCCGGTAGTACACTTTCTCACAGGTTTCACTTTCACTGCAAACCGCTGCACATTACAAGTGCATACCGATGGTGGTTGCGGGCGGGCGCACGCCTGTGTGAAGTTATCTACCGTACAATGAGGAGGTAGATCACTTCACGCAGACTTACGTGCCCCCGCAACCCTCCATCTGTATGCACTTGTATTGTGCAGCGGTTTGCCGTGCAACCTGTGAGAAAGTGTATACTACTATCAACGTTTTTCCGAAAAAATACTCCCCCCCAAAATAAGAAAATTGACCAGAAACAGGTTAGAAACATAACGACTTTTAAATCATGACCGGCATTATTTGAACATTTCATGAATATTTGCTTGATTTGGGGTAGGCCTAGATCTAGACCTATGTTTTAGATTTTTAGGACTCTCTCCACGCTAACTCCGGGAAGCTCCAACACCTGCGCCGCAGGCGTCGGAGCTTCGGGTTTGTGCATCAAAAAACATTCTAACAGCGGGTTGGGTGACATTATCTCAAAATATGCAAAGGGAGTAATTACAATTTTGACTCACTAGGTTGCTCGACTCCTCTGGGCATCTAGGCGGCAACTTTAAATTATAATTTGAAGAAGTCTTCGATGGGAAAAAGGGGGTGATTCTTCGTCCTATCCTGACGATTCTTCCATGTTTCGTCGATTCAACCGGCAAAGAGAAAGTACGCACTAAGTACGCATGCGCGGTAGTGCATACTTTCTCTTCGCCGGTTGAAACGACGAAACAACATGGAAGAATCGTCGGGATAGGACGAAGAATCACCCCCTTTTTCCCATCGAAGACTTCTTCAAATTATAATTTAAAGTTGCCGCCTAGATGCCCAGAGGAGTCGAGCAACCTAGTAAGTCAAAATTGTAATTACTCCCTTTGCATATTTTGAGATAATGTCACCCAACCCGCTGTTAGAATGTCTTTTGATGCAAGCTAGAACCCGAAGCTCCGACGCCTTCGTCATCGGCGTCTGAGCTTCCCGGAGTTATCTCCACGCCAGAGTTAATGGGTCACTGGTAAAATAGTCTGGATATGATTCTAAACTAGTAGTAGATCTACAGTATTGCTTGGAATAAAGTAGACACTCTCACACTGTGTCATGCGTGACTGCATGTATTATCCGTCTTTGACTTCTTCTTCTTCTTCAATATAATCTGCCTCCTTCAATACTAATTGCTGATGCCGTATACTCAGCCTGATTGGGGTGTGCAGGTGGACCATTAGTACCATGATTACACCGGGTTTTCCCCCTACTCTTATACGAAAAGTGCAATGGGTTCTTAACGTGCAAGGGTGGTGACTCTCCTGTACGAGGGACGGAGTGTTTTCCACTTGACATAGCCTGCGTCTATGAACAGGGGAAGCGCAGGCCAGTAGATCTAGACCTAGATTTCTAGATCTAGTGCCAAAGCTTTCATCAGTTTGCTTCTCTTATTTTTCTGCTTTCTTTTAGTTTTAGTCTTTTAGAGCAGTTGTATATTCGAGTTAGATTTCCCTTTAAAGCCATGCAGCCCATGTGTAGGCAAATGAGTAAACTTTTTTGCTTTAAATGATGCCCCATGCCATGCATACCTTCAATCAAGACCCTACATAAAAATACATATATGGGATCATACATTCCAAATCTTGTCAGCAAGTGTTGAAAGTCCGAGCTCACTATCACTGACATTATAGTGACATAAGATCATACATTGAGTCTACATATCAACTTTTCAGAACAAAAAACAGTAACTATAGATTTATGTACTTTTTGTAAATAAATTAGGTAATTCTAGGACTTACCCATACTGTAAATTTGCAGGAGAAAACGAGAGTATTCAGGAGGATGAAACTTCATGCAACGGCTTTTTTACTCTGAATTCAAATACATTACATACACATCGCGTCGCATAGTAGTCCTACGCCTTGCATGCCTTGAGTACTATGCAGCTGTACACACACGTACACACTCCCGTTTGAACTAGATGCGAGCATGTTTAGTCTTGATCGATATTGCAGACCTTGGTGCGTGTTAAGATGTTGCACAATCTGTAAATTGGTCCACTATAATGACTAATGACATTTGAGGGGGGGGGGAGAGTTGTTCCCTAATTTCAATTCTGACAATTGCCCTATTTACTTTGACTTACGCTCATATTAGATGTTGTAGTCTTTACCCGATTATTATCTTGGAAATGATTAGGTAATTAGAGACGTCATAATGACGTCGTTATAACGTCGTCCTTACGACAAAAAAAATCTTGGAAAAGTAGTCTTTAAAAGAGGTCATAATGACGTCGTAATGACGTCGTCAATACGACAAAAAATATATTGGAAAAAATAGTCTTTTAAAGACGTCGTAATGACGTCGTCGATACGACAACAATTATCTTGGAATAAATAGTCTTTAAAAGAGGTCATAATGACGTCGTCAATACGACAACAAGTATCTTGGAAAAAATAGTATTTTAAAGACGTCATAATGATGTCGTTATCACGTCGTCAACGACAACATTACATTGGAAAAAATTAGTCTTTTAAAGACGTCATAATGACGTCGTCGTTACGACAAAAATTAGCTTGGAAAAAATAGTCTTTTAAAGACGTCATAATGACGTCGTTATCACGTCGTCAATACGACAACATTACATTGGAAAAATAAGTCTTTTAAAGTCGTCATAATGACGTCGTTAGCACGTCGTCAATACGACAACATTACATTGGAAAAATTAGTCTTTTAAAGACGTCATAATGACGTCGTCGATACGACAAAAATTAGCTTGGAAAAAATAGTCTTTTAAAGACGTCAAAATGACGTCTTTATGACGTCGTTAATACGACAAAAATTATCTTGGAAAAAATAGTCTTTTAAAGACGTCATAATGACGTCGTCGAGAAGACAAAAAATATCTTGAAAAAATTAGTCCTTTAAAGACGTCATTATGACGTCGTTATCACGTCGTCAATATGACAAACATTAGCTTGGAAAAAATAGTCTTTTAAAGACGTCAAAATGACGTCTTTATGACGTCGTTAATACGACAAAAATTATCTTGGAAAAAATAGTCTTTTAAAGACGTCATTATGACGTCGTCGAGAAGACAAAAAATATCTTGAAAAAATTAGTCCTTTAAAGACGTCATTATGACGTCGTTATGACGTCGTCAATGCGACAAAAATTATCTTGGAAAAAATAGTCTTTTGAAGACGTCATAATGACGTCATAATTACGTCGTCCATACGACGTACGACGTGTTTACCACTTTACGACCAATTTATGACGTCTTTAAGACGTCAGTCTGCTATCAGGGAATATGATTGGGTGTCAAAACATGTTAATTATTACACTTTGACAATAGTGCTATGTATGTGTTATGCTGTTCAGATGACATATAAATTTTCGAACTGAGAGGGAGCTATACCAAATTTACCGGGAGTACCGGTAAAAAAAATTATTTTAAAAATTTTAATAACTCCAAATCAAAAGCTTTTTAGAGCCCAATTTTTTTAGAGTTGGGTGATCTAACACTATATTTCACAATAGTAATGCAAATTTTAAATTTCATGATCCAATCCTGATGAAATATTCCCAAAACTTTGTAATACCTTTAACATTAATTTCAGTGCGCGCGAGCTCTTGTAATACATAGCATATATGGGCAAAAACATGCCTATACAAAATCCATTGTAGCTCTTTAGGATGCAAGGTGACCCCAATTTCTTTTCATCTTTTAATAGAGTATGAATTGGAGATACGATTTCATGTCTCATTTGACCCTTAATTAACTCATGACGTCATCATAATGGCCTCCAAACTCAAAATTTCAATTTGCATATTATGACGTCAGCATATTTACGGAAAATTGATTGTATCTCTGTAAATATCGATCGATTTACTTTCAAATTTTGATATGTTCTAGCTGAGACCATTTCCTACAAATGTTGTTGCTATTATTTTTCATTTTGACAAAGGCATCGTGGCGTATTTTTGCGATTAAAGGAGGCATGTCAATTTTTCACATTTTGCGTGTATTCTCTATGGAACATTACTTTTTCTCAAAACTGGGTTCTACATTTCCGTCTTTCGCGAGCAATATCTCCGTCGTTTTAGCTTCGTTTACGTTGAACTTCGAGTATGTTGTAGCTGAGACAATAAGATATTTCAAATATGCCCTTGATTTTTTCTCAAATTTTAGTTGGATCGGCCCACCTATACTTGTTCCAAACAAGTATTACAAATCTAGTTTCTTTATTTTTATTTCTTCCACTTTTTTGTTCACAGGATAACTCAAGATCCGTCCGGTCAATTTCTTTCAATTTTGGCACAGTCATAGGTCATTGTCATGAGACGTGACAGTAACCTTTTCAAGGTTATCAAGGCTTCATGACGTCATCCAGGCGCCATTTTGTGTTTTTTTTGGAAAATCTCAAATGATCATAACTTCATAACTGAAAGTCATTTCTCATTCATATTTACCATGATCAAGGTCAATATCAGTCCGGTCAATTTCAGGTCAAAAACTGCGCGCGTGCGCGTACGTCCGCGCGTCCGTGCGCGCGCAAATTTCAAAATGCTCCAAATCTTCTCAAATTCATTTTGGATACGTTTCAGGCCATTTTACGCATTTCATAAAAATCACGCAAAACACGCATTTTTGCGCGTTTTCGTTCGTAGCGGCCAAACGAAGCATAATTTTCTAGTACGTCCTTTTGACGAGGGTAATCCTTATCTTTTTCCGAACAATTTGATACCATGTTTAGCTTTTCATGACCATTATTGACGGAATTAGCGTCCGTTTAAAATTCATGTCCGTACGCGCGTGATCTTGTAATACATAGCATATATGGGCAAAAACATGCCTATACAAAATCCATTATAGCTCTTTAGGAAGTCCACAAAACCCCCAATTTTTTCTCATATTTGGATAGAATATGAGTTGGAAATATGATTTTAGGTCTCATTTGGCCATTATATATATCGTGACATCATCATAATGGCCTTGGAACTCAAAAAACGAATTTGCATATTATGACGTCATCATATGTATGGCAAATTGATTGTATCTCTGTAAATATTGATTGATTTACTTCCAAACTTAGATATGTTGTAGCTGAGACAATTCTTTACAAGATCAGTGCCCATTGTTTTTCATTTTGATGACGTCATCATGGTGAAAATTTCAATTAAAGGCGACATGTCAGAATTTTCTTCATTTGCGTGTTATCTCTATGGAAGGTGAATGTCGTTCACATCGTGAATCTACATGGCATTACTCTTTGAGCTTTATCTCGCTTATTCGTGCTCTATTTTATCTCAAATTTTGGTATGTTATAGCTGAGACCATGGGCTACAAAACCGGTGTACTTTGTTTTTTGATCAGACGTTGGGATCATGTCGGAATTTTCGATTGAAAGTTGAAATTGCACATTTTCTAGAACTTTGAAGGATTTTCTTTATTATTATTAGGTGGTCTGTCTTCGACAGACTACCTATTGTTTTCGTCAGAATTTTCTTTCTTTATCAGGTGGGCTGTATAACGTACAGACCACCTTATAATTTCGTTAGAATTGCCTTTATTATTAGGTGGTCTGTCAACGACAGATCACCTATTGTTTTCGTCAGAATTTTCTTTCTTTATTAGGTGGTCTGTCAACGACAGATCACCTATTGTTTTCGTCAGAATTTTCTTTCTTTATTTATTTATTTATTTATTCACTTTTTTGTGGACAAGATAACTCAAGATCAGTTTGATCAATTTCGTTCAACTTTGGCACAGTCATAGGTCATTGTCATGAGACGTGACAGAAACATTTTCAAGGTCATCAAGTCATCGTGACGTCATCCAGGCGCCATTTTGTGAAATCACGTTATCCATCATATCTTCATGACGCATGAGCAAAGGTCATTCATATTCATATCACATACACTTCAGGTCAAGAGTCAACAACGCATGTCATCAAAGGTCACATAAAGGTCATGACGCGCACGTACGCGCACGTCAAAATTTTAAAATGCTCAAAATCACTTAACTATTGAACGAGAGTACGAATCAGGTCATTTTAAGCATTTCAAATTTTTCCGTCCGTACGTGTTCCCCGCGCGCGTTGCGCGCGCGCACAGCGCGCAGAAAACGTCAAATTCAAATTTTGTACATGATTTAGATTTCTCTTACCGTAAATGACAATTTACATTAATTTCAGTCACTCTTGACCTTTCATAAGGCTGTGAGCGCGCGTCAAAGTCCAAAATCAGCGCGTACTGCTATGGGCAATATAATGCAAATTTGATCAAAAACACGACATTTTAAAAATCAAAATAGCTCTTCAGATAGTCAATTGACCCCAACTTTTATATCATGGTTGGAAAAAGCATGAGTTGGAGATATGATTTCATGTCTCATTTGACCCTCAATTAACTCATGACGTCATCATAATGGCCTCCAAACTCAAAATTTTAATATTCATATTATGACGTCAGCAGATTTTTGGAAAATTGATTGTATCTCTGTAAATATTCATCAATTTTCTTTCAAATTTTGATATGTTCTACCTGAGAATATTCTCTACAAATGCAGAACCACAATATTTCATTTTGACAAAAGCATCATGGCGTATTTTTAAGATTAAAGGAGGCATGTCAATTTGTCACATTTTGCGTGTATTCTCTATGGGACATGACTTTTTCTCAAAACTGGATTCTACATTCTCGTCTTTCGCGAGCAATATCTCCGTCGTTTTATCTTTGTTTACGCTGAGCTTTGAGTATGTTGTAGCTGAGACAATAAGCTATCACAGGTGTGCCCTTTATTTTTCGATCAGATGCCGGGATCATGCTCATATTTCACTTACAAAGTGGGATTTGAGAATTCCATTTTCCGTTTACGTGTAATCTCTATGTG